TGGTCGGCGCCGAGCAGGCGGATGAAACATGTCTGCTAGCGGGCACAGAAGGTGTTCGTTTTCTTATTCATTGTTTTGCCGATCGGCGCGGGCCCTCGCACCCCCTCCCCCCCCATGGAGCAGATCTTGGTTGTTTTTGGCGCATTTTTCAAGCAGGCGGAACCTCCCCAATAGCACGCATTGTTGCAAGCAGTCGCATTGAGCAGCAGTCTGGGGCCAGACCCCCCCTCCCCCCCCTGTCCGCCCAATGTGGAAACGCCGACCCTTTCTACATGAAAACACACGCTCCCAAACAGGGGGGGGCAGGCGGCGCATCAGAGGCGACTTCTGCGCTGGGCCCATCTCCGACCGCGTGCGGCGCTTGGCACACGCCTCCCCCCCGCAGCCACGCAGCATGTCGACGCCTGCGTCCTGGATGCTGCTTTTGGTCACCCGGGGGGGGGGAGGGGCTGGGGCGGGTAACGGCACGTGACGCTCCAGCGGGGTGGGGCACTTGCGCAACGTCTGCGAGCACCAGCAGGGCGCCTGCGCACCGGCGGGCCCCTCCTCCAAACGTACCATCGCGACCAAGACGTGCGTGCCCCCGCCGCCCTGGCCGCTCTGGCTCCCTGGGGCGCCGAGCACCTCTGCCCGCGCGGGGAGCGCGGGCCGGGCCGCGGCCGTGGTCCGCGCGCGCGCGCGTCGCGCTCCCGGCCGCCCCCGCGGCGCGGCGCGAGCCCCGAAGAGCAGGGAACGGCGCAGCCGGTCGAAGGAGCACGCCCTGATGGTCCGCTACCGAAAATTTCCGGTAGCGCTCCGCAGAGATCGGTCGCTACCGAAATACCGAAATGTAGCGCCCAATACCGCTATGAGACCGTTCTGAAATCCGCTATTTCAACACCCTCAAACGAAGATCCGGTCGCTACCGAAATTCGGGGTGCGTCGAAATCGCTACCGAAAATTTCCGGTACCAGACCATCTGGGCGAGCCTCGAGTGGGGCCTGTCCTTCTCTGCGGGAGGAACCTTCCAGCAACGCAGCCCACCATAGTTGTCCGGGAGCGGTATTTTTTCGAACCTTTTTTGTGGAGACACGAGTTTCGAGCAGATGTGCTCGAGATGATTTTGGAGCTCGTCCTTCCACACTCCGCCTGCAGAAGGACACGCCCGCCCCAGAACAGGCGGCGTGCGGCCCGGAACCTTGGCTCGGCATGCCGCGCCCCGGGTTCTGGCCCCGCCGCGCCGCGGCACGGCGCGCTGTGATTGTCCACGCTGCGGCCCCCGGGGCGGCGCCCACGCGTGCCGAGCTTCCTCGCGGGCCCTCCGCGGCCCGCGGAGCGGGGCGGCACGCCACCCGCCGGCGCGGGGGCACAGCGTGTCGCTGGGGCTGCCGCCGCGACACGCTGCAGCAGGGGCCCGACCGCAAGAGACCTGGCACAAGAGGCCCAACCCTGAGACCCCAGGGCGTCCATTGATCTCTGGCGTGGGGGCGTCACGCTCTCCCACGGCAAAGCCGTCGGAACCCGAGAAACCCGGGGCACCCTGGAGGCAAGCAGGGCGTTTCTTGGCATGGGTCTCCACTGTTGAAGGGGCCCTGGGACACAAATAAATGCACACAAATAAAAATATTCCCGATATTTTCCCATCTTTTCGGAGTTTCTGTCTTCCCCACCACTTCCCATATTTTCCCATATTTTCTTGGGAGTCGACGATTCATTGTGTCTGTGTGTTTTTTGCCCTCCTGAACTGTAAGCAAAAAGTTCCTGGCCGTGGCCCGTCGAAGGCGAAAGCGCTGCGTGCACACAGGCTCCGAGAGCTCCCGCGCGGCTCTCCCGGAGCGGCGCGGGAGCTCTCGGAGCTGGGATTGGGGGTGGGCGTGGGTTTTCGCCTTCTCATATGCTATTTGTTTGCCGTTCCTCTCTCCTCGACGCTCCCCTCGGTCGGCATGATCCTGTACGACGAGGGCAGGTGCTCGCGGGCTGGAAGCGCGTGCAAAACTCCACGGCCTGGCGGCCTGGGCTCGCTGGGCGGCGGCTCCTGTGGATAATTGCGGGGGGGGCCTTTGCGCAGATGCCTCGGGCCGAGCGTATCCTTGAAGTCGGGCGTGTCCCTCTATAGGAGGAATCTCCAAACATACTCAAAAACATCGTCAGGGAACGATTTGTTGTTTCTTTGTGGAGCATTGGTGGAATATGTTTTTGATTTTTTTCCAACCATCCTGTGGTGTTGGGTGTTTTTTTGAAGAGACAGCGTCCCGCGTTCCTCACTCCTTCCTCCTCCCCCTCCGCCCTCCATCATCATCATCATCATCATCATCATCATCATCATCATCATCATCATCATCATCATCATCATCATCATCATCATCAGCATCATCACCACCATCATCATCATCATCATCGTCATCATCATCACCACCACCATCATCATCACCATCATCACCATCATCATCACCATCATCATCATCATCATCATCATCATCATCATCATCATCATCATCATCATCATCATCATCATCATCATCATCATCATCATAGTCATCGTCATCGTCATCGTCATCGTCATCGTCATCGTCATCGTCATCGTCATCGTCATCGTCATCGTCATCGCCATCATCAGTGGGGATGCCTGCATGCGTCCGCCACAACCCGTTACGCGCTTCGTGGCCCCATAGGGAGCTGCACTTGCAGCCCCAATGGGGTTGGCCACATGCGTCCGCCACGCCCAGCACAGCGCTCCGCGGCCCCCTAGGGAGCTGCACCGAAGGCCCCAGTGGAGGTGTCTGTCCGCATGCATCCGCCACACTCAGTACAGCGTGTCGTGGCCCCATAGGGAGCTCCACCGAAGGCCCCTGTGGTGGTGCCCTCATGCGTCCGCCACACCCGGTACAGCGTTTCGTGGCCCCATAGGGAGCTCCACCGAAGGCCCCAGTGGGATTGGCCACAGGCGTCCGCCGCACCCATATCGGCACACCCCTCACACGTTTTGTGGCCTTATGGGGAGCTCCACCTCAGGCCCCAGTGGGGGTGGCCGCATGCGTCGGCCACACCCAGTACAGCGCTTCGTGGCCCCATAGGGAGTTCCACCGAAAGCCCAGTGGGGGTGGCCACATGCGTTCCGCCACACCGAGTGCAGCGTTTCGTGGCCCCATAGGGAGCTCCACCGAAGGCCCCAGTGGGGGGGGCAACATGCGTCCGCCACGCCCAGCACAGCGTTCCGTGGCCTCATAGGGAGCTCCACAGGAGGCACCAGTGGGGGTGCCCGCATGCGTCCCCCCACCCATTACGGCACGCACCATCACGCGTTGCGTGGCCCACCGGAAGCGGCACCCACAACGCGCGTTACCCACAACTACATATGGCTGGGCCCTTCGCCAGGATAATTTATTTATTGGTTCCAAAATCCCCCGGTATGGGACAGGCCCGACCTAACCATAGATCACGCATCCCTGAGACCCGACGTCGCTAAGCAATGGCAGCACCGTGAGACATCGCGACGGCAGCTCGAGATCCGATCTCTCTGTGGCATCTCGCGAGCGGGATCGAGCCGCGAGGGCCCCGGGCCCGAGACCGGGCGAAAACGATTGGCGTGGCACGATGCGGCGCCCGGATCTCAGGGACCCATCGGATCGCGCCCGCTTGTCTTGACCGCGAGGGCGTGGCTGTTGGACACGTATTTGGACGACGAGAGCTGTACATGTATACCTGCCCTGGCCATAACCATTTTGGGCCCAGTGTCGGTGTGTGTGTGTGTGTACATATGTACATATGTATATATATATATATATATATATATATATATATATATTGGAAGCACGAGCGAAACATATATATATATATACAGATGTATATATATATATATATACATATATATGTGTATGTATATATGCGTATCTGTATGTACATATGTATATATTGTACACGCCTCCCTGGCCAGGCCAGGATGAAGTCCCATCAAGAGCCGTGCCCGGACCCCTCCATGGGGTCCATCCCGACGGGCCCAGCCGCTGCGACAAGGGGCGCCCGGGAGGGCCGCCGCTGGCTCTTGACGGGCCCTCCTGCGGTGGTGTGCATGTGGGGCGTCTTCCATGGATGCCTTTTCTCTGTAGGCTCTATCGGAGGTTGATCGACCTCCTACCCTGACACGTCGATTAAGGAATTGGCCGTTTTCGGTTCGCGAGAGGGCGTCGCGGCCTTCATTTTTGCGGTTCGAGGTCCGTCGGTTTCGACCCCAGGCCGTGTTCACTAGGGGGAGGTTTACTAAGGGGAGGTTTGTCCACCGCCGACTCTGGCAAGTTTAGTTGCATGGATAGGGGATGGGGGGGGTGAGCGTGGCGAGGCCCGCAGGGAGACCTGGACTCCTCGCGCACGTCGCGCCTCGTTTGCCTGCCTTTTTTCGGCCCGGCGCTGTGCTTGAAAAGGTGGCGACGAGGGGGGGGGGAGGGGCGAAATACCATGCGAGTCACCCAGACATGCGATGCCTTGTTTTTCAATACGGGTCCCCAGGGCCCCCGACGCAGTTTTTTTCATCCTGAGCTGTTTTTGCCGGCCCGAGGGCCCGGCGACGGCTTCAGAGGCCGAAGACCTTCAGGCACCTCCCGCCATTTGTTTTTTGCTTACGCCGGGAGCACGCCTGGAAAGCTTGCCCCAGTCTATCAAGGAATTTGCCCTCCTCATGTCGGTATCGTTGAATCTACAGTCAACCCGCATAGTAAGGATGGGCAACCTTCCTAAGCGTACCCTTTCATTCTTGCCTCCTCGGTCCATCTTTGACCACTTTCGCTGGCCGCGCCCCCGCTCGCAAAGTGTCGACGTGGCCTTCCGAGGCCCTCGCATCCTCACCGCGCACCCCTATGATGCAGGACGACGGCATGGTGCCTCGGCCCCACTATCCAGCCACCCCGGTTGGAGAGGACGAGGACAGGCCCCTCGAGACCCGACGGGAACGGCCTAGTGATCCCCATCACCGGCAGGGGTGCAGATCGGCCAGCGGGGCCTGGGCCTCGTCGGTGGGAGCAGGGATCGGCGAAGCGATGCTCTCCTCGTGGCGCGCGAGGTGGAGCATCGCCTCGGGTTTTGGCCCTGCTGGCCGATGCCTGCCCACGCAGAGATGGGGGATGTGCAGGCTGCTCCCTTCGGGCTTCGAGGGGCCTCTCTCCTGCCGGGGTGGTGGGATGGTGGACTGACATCTCGAGACCTGCAATTCAGGGCCGAGCGCCCCAATGCCCATGCTGAGCTGATCCATGTCCATTCGCCATTACTGAAGGAATCCCATTCCGTCTCTTTTCCTCCGCTTCCTCCCATGTTTGGTCTCAGCGGGCTGGCTGACCTAAATGTTCACGTCTTGGCAAGAGTGCGCTGGGCACTAGACAGCAAGGCCAGGCCCAGCGACACGACAGCAGATGGCATGCACCATGGCCCAGTGGGGAGTGAGGATCGGTGCGCCGCTGCCGCTGGTCGTGCGCGAAGGTGGAGCATCGCCTTCGCGCTGCAGCTCCACGGCTCCGTGGCCGACCGCTGCACCGTCCTCGCGCTGCCCTGTGCGTTGCTCGCCGTGTCGCTGAACTTGCTCAAGGCCGCCAGCCTTGCGCCGGGCGTGTCCCTCTACAGGGGGAATCTATATTCAACATAATCAGAATTTGGCCTGAGGATTATCTTTCTATGATTTCTGGGTATTTTTTGTTTGTTTTTCTTTGAAACCTTTTCGCTTCTCATGCAACATCTGTTTGGGTTCTTTTTTCCATTTTTCTCCCAGAACTTGCCTGTAGGAGGACATGCCCGACTTCGCGCCAGCTGCAGCCCCCCCCTGACTGGCGCCGCCGCCGCCGCCGTCGCCCCAGTAGTATTTATACGTATAGAACTATCAATGATGTATTCAAATTATCAGTCTTCTTCGTATGATTCGTCTTATTCGTCTCATGATTATTATTATTGTCATTTTTACTATTCTGGGCGTCGTCGCCTGATGTCAGCCCCGCACAGAGGGTCCCCACCCACCAAACCACCCCCAGCACCAGCCCGAAAGCCAGAATCTGGCCTCCATTCCTAGTTGGGGGGGGGGGCGTTGGGGAACATAGAAAACGCACCGGTAGAAACCGCAAGTACCCCCCCCCAACCTGACTTCGGGTTCTTGTGTTGGGCTGGGGTGGTCAGGTAGGTAGCTTCGAGTGGGATAGGGGTCAGTGCGGGGTCCCCAGAAGTCCCGACCCTTTCCCTGGAACCAGTTTCTCCCCCAGTTGGTTTTTGACGGTCCTGGGGCCCCACTCTTGGCCCCCAGGAGCCGAAGCGGGGCAGAAGCCCGGGATCGAGCTTCGGTGCTCGGTACTCGATCTCGGCCACGCGCAGAGAAGGGCTTCTTAGAAGCGCCCTGCTTCTCGGAAGGCTCGGGCCTTGTGTATATTACTGTGGGGCCCGCGCCTTCCCAGAGGCAGTCTGCTTCAAGTTTTCACTCGGGGCGTCTTCACAGGCTTTTCGAGCCCCTGGGATCGTCACGGGTAGATCCGCCTCGAGAAGTGGCGCAGCGGGATGGGGTCTAGGGTTGGATCGGGCCTGTCCCTCTATAGGAGGAGTGTTCAACAATAGTTAAAAGACAGTATGTGGACGATTTTTTGTGACCATTTTAGGTCTTCTTGGTGACACTCTTTGGTTATTTTTTCAATCTGTCCCAAAGCCCGCCTGTAGGAAGACGTGCCCGACCTGAGTCTAGGGCCCCGGTCGTGCTTTTCCAGGCTGTCGTCACATCTCCGCGTCTTCGCATCACAGGGCCCGACGGTCTGCTTTCCTCTTCCTCCCCGGCGTGCTTCTTTATGGACCTCGGCCCCCCGGGGGCCACTCTCTCGGGCCCCCTTCTGGGGCCATCCGGAGGTGCTCCAAGGGGTCGGGAGCTCCCGGGGCCGCGGACTGAAGCAGCAACCCTGGCGGATATCTGGGGTCACCGTCGTCGGCGTCGTCGTCATCGTCGTCGTCGTCGTCGCCGCCGTCGTCGTCGTCGCCGCCGTCGTTATCGGCGTCGTCGTCGCCGTCGTCGTCGGCGTCGTCGGCGTCGTCGGCGTCGGCGTCGTCGTCGCCGCCGTTGCCGTTGCCGTTGTCGTTGCCGTTGCCGCCGCCGCCGCCACCGTCGTCGTCGTCGTCGTCGTCGTTGTTGTCGTCATCGTCGTCGTCGTCGTCGCCGTCGTCGTCGTCGTCGCTGTTGCCGTTGTCGTCGCCGCAGTAGTCGCCGTCGCCGCCGTTGCCGTTGCCGTTGCCGTTGCCGCCGCCGCCGCCTCCACCCACGTCGTCGTCGTCGTCGTCGTCGTCGTCGTCGTCGTCGTCGTCGTCGTCGTCGTCGTCGTAGTCGTCGCTGCCGCCGCCGCCGCCGTCGTCGCCGCCGCCGCCGCCGCCGCCGTCGTCGTCGTCGTGCAAAGATCGAGGACCGAGGTTCGAGGTTCACGACGCCGATGGGGAGGAGCATGCTACGCATGTAATGAACTCAAGATAAAGTATAGAATAGGTTAGCCGTGGTGAGTCGGCTATGATGGCCACCTCGAGGACCGCGTGGCATCGTTCGGATGTGTGTGTGTGTGTGTGTTTTGGAGGGGGGCTGCGAGGGCCAGCACCATCAACGATCGACCATCTTGGAGCATATGGGACCATCTTTAGCTAAAACACACGTACTAAACCAAACAACTGCACGGAGATTGTGCATCTGAGCGACTGCAGGACCGCTGTGATGCGGATCCGGCCCCGAGCCGAGACGATTCATGCGATGATTGCGTAAGGCGCTTTTCTGCGATGGCCTCGACTTGGTGAGGAGTGCCTACTGGTGGCCCGCGTGTGCCCACCCCGCCCGGCCCGCTCGCAAGGGGCTGCGCACCCCCCTATGGCCAAGACGCTGAAGCAAGGAGCCGTTTGGGCTCGTGGCTCCCGGATCCTCGGGCCCCTCCGCGGCTGCTCCTCAAGCGTTCCGCGTGCACGCGGGCGCTTCTTTTGGGGGGCCAGCGCGGGGCTTCGTTCCCGGCTCGCTGCTCCCTATTTCGGCAGCCCGATTGCATCTGGCAGGATGGATGAGAGCGGTGCGACAGGACTTGCGACGACGACGACGACGACGACGACGACGACGACGACGACGACGACGACAGCGTCTCACACACGCCGAATGGTCGGCGGATCTGCCGTTCCCTGCCCCGGCAGCCGCGGCCGAGAGCGGGCCGCCCCCCGCCTCCGCGCTGCACGTGCTCTGCGGGGGCCACGGCGGTGTGTTTGTGTGTGTGTGTGTGCTCCGAGAGCGGGGCGCACGCCGCCCTCCCGAACAGGAGGAGGAGGAGGA